CGTTGATTGTAGAGTCAACCACGGATGACACATCATTCGCAGAGTTGGAGGCGATGACCTGTGGAGTGTAACTTGGAGGCCCTTCCGAGGCCTCTAATTTCCACCAGCTCGTCGGGGATCCGTTTGAGTAGTCACAGAAAGGGCTGAAGTATTGCACCTCGGGCTAGACAATTGATGCGTGTGAGCTCGATAGACATGATCTTGCCATAGGAAGTTTTCGACCTTATCTTCTGCAGTATGCAGCCGAAGTCCTTGAACTTTTGTTGCTTTACTCTCCCTTCGAATTGAGGAATGGGAGTCAAGAGCAGAACCGTGCCAATGGACGGTTTTGTTAGATCGTCGTCTCGAGAAGAAATTTCCGAAGCAGCCAGATACGTCTTCGCCAGAGGAATGCATGGTCGTTGGGAGTAAAGGGCGGAGGTATGAGAAGTATCGTGCGGATATTTTCAACGCTGACCTGGTTTGGTTATTTTGGGATGTAGATCCTGTTTGAGATACAGAGTCAGCACAGGATCATGATTGCTTTGACAGCGAAGGTCGGAATCTGCCATGTGAACTGAATCGCGCCGACGCCGATGAGTTCGGTGTATATGTAAAGTGGTATTAGCGCGAGAATCATATAAAATCCATGTCATAAAAGGTCTAAATCTCCAAGTAAAGTATACATTAACAAGCACATGCGAAGGAACTAAGACGAAAGCGTACAGAAAGCATATCTGATAAATAGTCGAGCGCCAAACTCTTTACTGGCCGTTGTCCGAATCTTTGCGGGAAAACGAGCTTCCAAACTTTTTCCAAAACCCAACTGCTGGTACGTATTGATCTTGATCACGCAAACCTACAACAATCTTTCCCGTACGTGAGGTCAAATCGCAATAATTGGCCTCTGGACAGTCGTCTTCGTCACCGTTGCGCATGAAAATTATTTCATGTTCAGTGCGTTTAGCAATCTTGATACGGTGGGCAAGGGCAGGAAGAATCTCGAGTGAACCTTTATGTGTTTGCATTCGAACGATTCCACTGAAGTTTGGAGGAATTAAAAGCACCACAGTTCCTGTGACTGTGTGAGCAAGGCCAGAGACCACATCATTGAACGAGTACTAACCATGCTTCGAGGCAGCATTCAAAGCCAATCGTGGTTGGGAAGGTTCTGCTGGAAGCTAGGATGGTTGTCAATGAGGTATGATGCCTGGCGGTGGATTTGAAAACGTACCAAAGTGATTTTCAGGTCTTTGGACATATTCGACACTGAGACGTTGGCGCGCGACGCTTGCCTGAAGTCGCCATTCGTCGCTAGGGATATATCAATCTCACTATGACGAGTACGGAAGGATGCGTGGGGAATTGGGTCATGCTTGGAATGTCCATGTCCTTTGTGATGGTGTTTATGTCGGCGCTCGATGTCGAGAAGGGGGATGAGCGGATCGACATGGAAGACACCTGAAGTTTGATTCTTATGAGTTATGATCTCATTGTATGATAGAGTGGCCATACCTTTGATTTCGCTCTTGCGATTATATATATGGACTTGATCGACGGCTGAATGCAAATTTGCTGGGCGGTCTGGAAGGTTTTTGTCTGGCGCCGTATGTCTTGAGTGTGAGGAGCTCGCGGTTCGAGCGCTGTTGATAGTTGCGCTTCTGAATGCCTCGCTATACGTGGGAGGGTTGTCCTGGTTCAGAATAAGAATGGACGTTTTGGTCAAGGGCAATGTAAGATACAACGTACTGGGAGCTTCATCTTTGGAGAGGTCTGGCTTGAGGAAGAGTCTGCAGGTTCGATGATCATTCTGGCGATACTTTAGACTTGGAGGTTGATATAGCTGCGGACAGAGTCCTAGTGGTCTTCCAAAGTGCTGTGGAATCAGCTGTCAGGGCTGTCCCTGCTGCGGTTATTTAATAGAGGCTTGGAGGCTTGGACTTCACTGAACGACCTGCTGCGGACTTGCGTCGCCGCGTCGGCAACAGAGGCACTGTTGCGGATCGCATTCCGTGTCACGGGAAGCCTGCCGAAGCACAGCCGCAGCGTCGATTGATGTGATTATTTGTCACGTCATCACATGTCGGTGTGACGTCTCGCGCTGTGTTGGAATCCATCCACGAGTTCACTGTTACAAACTACTAATTCAAAGCTAGACTCTATCATGGCCTCTCAGAATGTACTTCTTTTGCAATGTGTCTGTGGTACTCCCAGTACTCCCAGAGGTGTCTCACCTAATTGCTCCGCGCAACGACGAATAGCAACTTTACCACCCTCCGAGGCGCTCAAAATGGGATCGGAAGGGCCTCCACACTCATGTATCACACTAGCAATTTCTATGGCTTGCGCCAGCGGCACTGGCAAGTATAATGAAGCAGAATTCGTGGCTTTCTCCTTGGATCTCCTTCAACGATCGATCCATAATCCAGTAACTCCAGGGCTATGGGGTATCCCTCTGCACTGTCTCAACGCATACTTGAGTCAAGACGCCGCCAAACGATTATTGGCAAGTGAAAGTCCATTGGCCGCGCAAATTCGCAGTGTTGTACCGAAGATCATCGACGCGATTTGGAAAGATCGCAATCTCTTAAAAATCCAAGGCGCTCTGGAAGATGTTATACGCAATACCGTAGCTATGTTTCTCAAATCTTTGTATGTTATCAGTCCTCTGAAAAGGTACCTTTCCTCTGCTCTGTGTAAATTAAACCCGACTTATTCGCCCCTTGTAGAAACTTTTACAGCGACAAATCCATAGATCTCGTTTGGATCTGTTGGCTGGAGATGGACACGCAACCTGACAATAGGCAAGCGGCAAACGAGATCGCTTACCAGTTGTTATTTGGGGATTGCACCAAAGTTGCTCGGATTTACCAACGACTCCTCAAAACCACATCACTTCAACACGTCGCGAAAACTATAACAAGCTGGCTCGCTTCCAAATCCATACTGAACAAGGAGCTGGTTGAAGAACTCCATACAATACACGGTTTTTTCTCGGTGATCATGGAATCCGATGAGAGCGTATCCGATCATATTCAGCATTGCGTCGATGCTAAAATTCACGAACATTTGTGTAATGCACTACACCGCCAAATAGAATTTGGGAACAAAGAGTCAACATCTGTTGCGCTTGGTGTGGGGGCTGCTATTTTGCTGTACGTCTTCTCTCCCTCAAGCCAAATTTCTCCTTAACTCTAATGATTCTCAGCGAGTGCATAAGCTTCAGTGGTAGTCGAGCACCCCAGCTATTCACCGAACTTCTTTCCATCCCTTCATTTCCTCGAGTAGTCTCCCAAGTCTTTGGGGTTCAGCCGAAAAACGATGCACACATCTATGAGCTCCTCACAGATACCCTTAGCTCGTGGGACATGTTGTTAACGCGCCTCGAGCATGCAACCACCTGTAGAGACACTACTTGTTGGCTTTACTCCACGTCAGACCTTCTCGATCTCGCCCGCCAAACGTTTGAGCTCATATATCACGAAACTGTGACCAAATTCGCGATTTCAAATACCACCCGAGCCGCTGAAATGTGGACGCAGATCAAAATATTCTACACGATCGGAGAGGGAACCGTTCGCGAACGTTATAAACTTCTCAAAAAATGTTGTAACCCTGCATGTGTTCATCGCCTGAGAGAAGTGCAAATCACGAAGAAACTCGCCTGTTCGGGTTGCCGGACGGTATTCTATTGCAATAAAGCTTGTCAGAAAGCGTGAGTCTTGAATCTATATGATTTTCTATATCAGCTGATATCCTTTCAGGGACTGGAAAAAGCACAAGATAGATTGCAATCCTGCCCTTATCGCCACGCATGAACGACTGGTCCTCATGTATAAACAACCTCCGGCATCTGCGCTCTCTCACAGCCCTGTTTATATTTGAGTATTTGTTCTATGTTCACTTTGGGTTCTTGGAAGACAGCTCGAACAAATTTTCAGCGCCTGATTGACCTTCCTTGAATAATCCAAAGCTATAACAGTATTTGCTCGCTAGGCTTTCTTCTTGACTCACACACAGTTTTGATTGCATACTTCGCATTCTTAACTAAAAGTTGTACTTACTTACCAGCGGTCATGACTGCCACGTTCGCCTCCAATACCTTACATTTGTCTTCATCTGAAATGTTATCCACGATCATATGAGATGTCAATCGTGAATCCTTCAACCTTCCGTCATGCTGACTGTGCTCGGTCTCAAAACACGGAGGTGTCATGAACTAACAGTAAAAAGATTATACAAATCAATTCATCTTGTGAATCCATATTCAAAAAAAGATTCGACACGATATTCAGGTCTGAGGTCCACCCACGCACAGCCATCGTCGGCCTGATGGGTTCTAGTGTTAGGGAGTTTGGGGTTCACAGGGGCTGAGAGCAGTTTCGAGAGGTCCTGGGTTCAATTCCCGGTCATGCCCTGCGACAAATTTTTTTGTGGCCTTGATTAGTAAATTCCAAGTATAAAAACGCTGATCAAAACTGATTGTCGCTTGTGAATGGCAGTTGAGTGAAGAACTCTCGTTCAATTCGAGCTTAAGCGATAGCAGAGTTTGGCCATAACCGAAATTCCTTCAACTGGAGTTAACTGTAGCTGCGTTGCCTCAAGTGCCAGTGAGCCGCCAATTCAAACCTCAATTTACATACGGCAGAGACACAGTCAGCTAACTCGAATAGTCACAGAAAGGCTTTGAGAAGTCAAGCATCCAATAAATTTTGTTTCAAAATTTAAAAGCCCAGTATCTGTAAAGTTATCTTCGACTGATACACAGCTTCTATTTCCTACTTCATAGAAGGAATCTTCGCTGTTCTCCTCAATTAAGCAGGTAAAAACAGTCTTAATTTGGCAAGGTGCCAAAAATCCACAGTGCTCTGCAATGCAGAAGTTGTCTTAGAAGCAACATTCCAAGTACCTGGATTCGAGTCTAGAGTTCTAGATACAGGCTCTCAGTTTCCCTGTAGACATGCAGACTCATTATGACAAAAAAACTGAATATATTTACTATATTTAGCTCCCTTTTCATCGGCCTTATGGTCTAGTCGCATGATTCCTCCTTTGGGTGCACAGCCACACGATTGGAGGAGGTCCTGGGTTCAATTCCCAGTGAGGCCCGCTTTTTTGTTCTTTTAGATGACCTTTAAATGTCTCGAAGCCAACTTATTGCAATGGTAGCGTTGCGTTTGGCGCCTGAGCATGTTCTTACTGATCAATCAGTGTGCTTCCCTTATTTGGCGATCACACTTTGATGTCGATCATTCGCTCCAGCATTGCGTTGTCGGTAATCTTCATCAATGCGCTCGTTATTATCAGACAACGAAGCTGGTTCGGTAACCTTTACATAAACATTCTTGATAGATTAAGCAGAGAAACGAGAGTTTTGCTTGAAATTGTCCTTGGGAAGAATTAATATCGTATGTTTTGCGAAGGCTGCAAGCTGCTTAAACAAAGTCACGCCGCTATTACCAGGGGTTCCTTTCTCACATGGACGAAGACACCCATCTGGGACATTGATTTTGTTGGCAATCTCACAGTTCCCACAGTGCACGAAGAGAACACTGGCATGGGAGCAAAATTGTATAAACTGCAGTGTCATGAAGAAGCTCTTGCTTGGGAGACTGGGCTTGAAGAGAGAAGAGAAGACATATGGAAGTGAAGAGGCACTGGCAGTCGGAGACAATGAGCTGAAGAGATAGGTAGGCTTTGAGAGGCCTGATATATCTACAACATCGAATCCGTTGGACGACTGCTTTTATCATTCTGGGTTTTTGTGGTACATAACATTGGCCGCTTTGAACATAGATATTTATGATCGGTGTATGGTATACCGAAATTTTTAGTTAATGGTGAGAACACAAGGAGTTGGATAGCTGCATACCCAGAGTCGACATCGCGGAAAACAGTAGCTCCGGTTACTAAACAGGGGCGGTTTGGCCATGCAATGCGTGATCAACAGGAGGGAATCAATACAGACAAATATACGGCCCGACCAATCTGTCGACATAACATGAACGCAATCATACCTCTATCCTCAACTCTCAGCCCGGAACATGGCTTCCGCGGTACAACCTAACCAGCCCGATAGGCTAACCCAAATATTTAGTGGTCTCAAGAACAAAAATCCGGATGTGAGGATTCAAGCAGCGGACGACCTGGCACGTTTCGTATGTGGATTTATGCTCGTCAAGGATATCAAGCTATGTCGCTAGAGCTGGCTGTAGGTCTCAACGAACATTGTCGAGATGTCGTCGGACGCTGCCGCGAAGCTTTGGGAAGATAGTATTAACCGGAGATTGTTCGAACTAACCCATAGCCAGAATTCTGTGGAGGCCTTTGGCGGACTGTTGGCTATCGGTGTGTTTTATCCTCGTGCGCCAGTATTTAGGACTGATTGACTCTATTTCCTGTAGAAAAGCTCCTAAAGATTGATCAGGAAGAAACTATAGAGTCAAAGAAGAATCTTTTTCGTTTATACAACTACGTCAAGCACCTCCTACCGAATCACGACGTCAACCTCATGCTTGCGGCCTCCAAGACGCTTGGTCACATCGCTGAGATTGGCGGCTCAGCGTTCGGGGAGCGCTTTATGGACTATGAGGTTCCCGCAGCCATAGAATTGATGCAACCTGATAAACAAGAATCTCCTCGATACGCCGGCGTGCTGATATTGAAAGAGTTGGCGAAAAACAGTCCCAACTACTTCCATTCGCATATAGGGATAGTCTTCGATAATATCCTCGGGCCGCTCAGAGATCAACGCGTCATTGTTCGAGAAGGCGCTGCAGAACTACTTGCAGCTTGTTTGGAGATTGTAACGCAAAGAGAACGCCAAGCCAGATCGCCATATCTTTCCAAAATATTGCAAGATGCGCAAGCTGGCCTCAAGCAATCCCAACCAGAAGTGATTCATGGCTCTCTGGTAACATACAGAGAGCTTCTGTTGCATGCAGGAATGGTGAGTGCGAACTGACTTTGCTAAACCCCGACTAACAGTCCCTTAGTTCATGAAGGAGAACTTTCTAGATACTGCCGACCAGATCTTGCGATTCCGTGCACACAGAGACCCTCTCGTTCGTAAGATGGTTATAATCATGATTCCCTCTTTGGCTGCCTACGACACTCAGACTTTCACCGAACACTTCCTGCATAAAGCAATGGCTCACCTGTTGACCCAGCTGGAGAAGCCTAGCGAACGTTCTTTCGGTAAAGCAAATCCGTAATCTTGACAGTGTCGATTTAATTACTTTTCATAGCGTTTGTGGCCATTGGACATACTGCTACTGCGGTTGGAAGCGACATGAAGCCGTTTCTTGATGCCGTTATGATGCAAATCAAGCTTGGGTTACAGGGACGAGGGTATGTTATTTGACTGATCTGATTGAATCCGCTAATAATTGTGTAGGCGCAAGAATGCACCGTCAGAGGAGCCCATTTTCCAGTGTATCGGGATGTTGGCTTCAGCTGTTGGCCCGAATCTCACCAAACTACTCCACGACCAATTAGATCTTATGCTTGCCTGTGGGCTGAGTGAACCCCTTATACAAGCTCTCGCGGCAATTGCGAAATGTATTCCGCCCTTGTTAAAAACCATTCAAGGTTCGCTTCCTCAAATATACGAAGACAACGATTGACCAGTGTCTCTAATAGATCGATTGCTCGATGTGTTATGCATATTACTGAGTGGACAACCTTACAAACCTCTTGGCGCTCCAAATCCTCTTGCAAGAAACGACATGTCTACCATCAAAGAACTAAATGCGGCTCAAGTAAGTGGTGGCGTTTGATCTTCCAATTACATGGTTATCTGAGTTCTTATCGTTCAGATGAACGGAAATGATAAGAATCCCGAACAAATCGAACTCGCACTGAGCACTTTGGGCTCATTTGACTTCAGTGGTGGGTCTCCTGTATTCAATGCGCTGAAACTGAAGCGTTGACTTTACAAGGCCACGTCCTAAATGAGTTCGTTCGTCAATGTGCACTGCCTTACCTCGAGGACGACCACGTAGAAGTCCGCAAAGCAGCAGCAGAGACTTGCTGCGAGCTCTTCATCAAAGACCCTATCTGCTATCAAGCGAGCAGCCACGCAATCGAAGTTATCAGTGATGTTTTGGACAAGCTATTGACTGTCGGTATTGCCGATCCAGGTGACAGTCATTCATGTTTATTGCACAATGGTCCTGCTGAAATATTAATAGATGCAAAGATCCGACATGTCGTCTTGTCCTCTTTGCATGATCGATTCGACAAACACCTCGCTCAAGCTGAGAATGTTAGATCGCTTTTTATCGCCCTCAATGACGAGGTCTTCGAGAATCGGGTCGCCGCTGTAGGTCTAATAGGACGACTCGCCAAACACAACCCTGCCTATGTTATGCCATCACTTCGGAAAGCCCTCATCCAACTTTTGACCGAACTTGAATATTCGACTGTCATGCAAGTCTTACTTTCTGATAATTTGTGCAATGACTGATATTCGACTCAGGCGAAATAGAGAGGAATGTACCAGGCTTCTAACTCTGCTAGTTGGCGCCACTCAGCGCCTGATCAAACCCTATGCACTCCCAATGCTGCAGGTACTTCTACCTAAAGCGAATGACTCAAACCCAACAGTTGCTGCGAATGTCCTCATGTGTCTCGGGGAATTGACTTGTGTTGGTGGAGAGGACGCCATGGAGAATATTCCCGCCCTCATGCAGGTTATCATTGCACGACTTTCAGATCCGTCTCTACTCAAACGTGATGCTGCCTTACATACACTTGGTCAAGTATGTTCCAGTACTGGATATGTCATTACACCTCTTGTGGACTACCCTCAACTTCTTCCCTTACTTGGCCGAATCCTGCGAACAGACACCAACCAACAAGTACGACGCGAAGTCGTGAAAGTACTGGGAATTCTTGGTGCTCTGGATCCTTATCGCCGGAAGGTACTTGTTCAGAACTTTGATGATCCTCCTTATCAAACTGACATTCTGCCAGACCAGGCCAGACGAGGACAGCACCAGCGAGACTGCAGTGGCAGCTGTAAACCAAATTCCAGAAACTCAACACGCGGCCACGTCTGGTTCGGATGATTATTACCAAACCGTGGTCATCACCGCCCTTCTCGCGATCCTCAAAGATCAAGGCCTAAGTAGTCATCACCACACAGTCATCGAAGCCATCATGTCTATTTTCAAGACTCAAGGCTTGAAATGTGTTACATTTCTACCTCAGATCATACCCGCGTTCGCTTCAGTGACCAGGGGTTCCGCTGCCCGACTACAAGAGTTCCATCTCCAACAACTAGCCATTCTCATTGGCATTATCAAGCAGCACATTCGCAATTTCGTGCCGGAGGTTTTCGTTCTTGTCACAGAACTATGGGATAACCCCACTCTCCAGTTGCCTATCGTATCTCTTATCGAGGCACTAGGGAAGGCGCTTGACGCTGAGTTCAAGCCCTTCCTACCTTCAATTCTACCTTTGATACTCAAGATTTTTGAGGGAGAACTCACCGAGAAGAGGACCAGCACTCAGATAAAGGTCTTCGACGCATTTCTTACTTTCGGAGCCAACATCGAAGAATATCTCCACCTAGTGATACCTATAATTGTTAAATCCTATGAACGCCGGGATTTCACGGATAGGCCAGAGTCCCTGACAGCTCTCCGGAAACGAGCGATCCAGACGATCGACGGAATGTCGCGACGAATCAACTTCTCTGACCATGCATCGCGGATTATCCACCCTCTCATTCGTGTTTTAGAAGATGGGAGCAACGAACTAAGAATGGCTGTGATGGACACTCTTTGCTCGCTAGTCGTTCAGCTTGGTTCTGACTTCGCGATCTTTGTGCCAACCATCAACAAGGTCGGCTCTATTTTCATATCGCTCAATTCCTTCGTGCTGATTAGGTCACAGTGCTTGCTCAGAAATCGAGTGCCCCATCCGAAATATGAAAATTTAATATCGAAACTCTTGAACGGAGAACGCCTCCCTCAAGAAGCTGGAGTCCTGGAACTTTTGTAAGTTCCGCCCTGGCAGGCAGGCTTATTATTACTACTAATATTTGTTGCTCAGGATGAGTGAGAGCTCGAAAGCACCAGAATTTTCGGCACCTGCAGAAGCAA